TTATTTATTTATTTATTTATTTATTTATTTATTTATTTATTTATTTATTTATTCCCAGTAAAACAGATCCCAGGGAGGAATCCAAAGCACCTGCAAGGCCTGTGAATTGTGGGGCAGCAGGAGAAGATCCCAGAGCAGTGGGACCATGTGGATCCGGGGCCCAGGGCTTGTGTCCGTGCAGGAATTCCTGTTTATTCCGGAGTGGGATGGAGTGGGACTCGTCACAACCTCCCCATTCCACCCCCACATCCAGCCTTCATCCCTTCTTTCCTCACCCTCCCCTCTTCCTCTTCCTTTTTTTTTAATTATCAGTTTCAACAAAAACGTGGAAAATGTGGAAAAATCCAGACCCTGATCCACGTTTTGCCGAAATCCCGGGAATCCGGGAGCCCACCCCACCCTCCTGTGTGATGGTCACCGAGCAGGGAGGCCCGAGAACATCATTTGAGGCCCCAAATCCCACCTGCTTCTGGTCCAAAATTCAGGGAATGAGAGCAGGGCTGGAATCTCAGCGATAGCGACACCAGCCGAGCTCTCAAAGGCTTTGGGATCCACGGCAGGATTTAGGGAAGCGCCCGATTTATCTCACACTTTGTAAAAAAAAGTCCAATCTGGCTCCTGAAAAAGCTCCATCGAAGCCCAAAGGCCGGAGCTGGAAGGTTTCTGAGGACAGGGAGAAGGGTAAGAAAACAAAAAGCAGGATCTAATTTCTTAGGAGTAGCAGCTCGGCCCGGGAGGAGATAATTGAGGGCTCCAGTGGCTGCAGATAAGATCAGACTCGGTTCCTATTTTCAGCCAGGCTGGAGTCACCGAAATAAATCCCCAAACCTGAGACAAAGGAAACTCAGGGAGCTGCAGGGTCCCAAAGGTTTCCTTCGGCATCAGTATTCCAAGTGGCTGGAATTGGCCAGCAGGGAGGATGTTCCCAGCCCGCTTGTCCTGAGCACTGGGGTCACTAAAGAGGAGAGGGGAAGGGTTGAGATGAAAATGAGGAACATGAAGGGGTAAAATGACCTTGCTTTTAATTCCAGCTGTGCCAAG